TTAGCTCAGCGGCAAAGCTCCTGCCTGGCAAGCGCAAGGTCGTGAGTTCGGTTCCCGGTACCGGAGAAAAACCAAAAAGAAAAACCAAAAAAAAAGAACTTCCCTCCCTCCATTCCACTTGCATGGCGCAGCTCTGTATCCTGTAAGCTCCAGTGACTTTCTTAGATCCTCCACAAGACTGAGGTCCAGTTCCCCAGCCGGTACCTTGCTGGCCAGCCTCTAACGCACCCTTTGTTAGACTCCTCTTCAGGGCCCCACACCCTCCCTCCTCCCAGCATCTCCTGGACCCACTTCCCAAAGTGACCATTCATAGGTGAGATCACTTCTCAGAGACACTCAAACATACAACAGACTTTCATAATTCACATTTATGTCAACCAATCAATAAATAACTTGTTTCTGTTTAAATGACTTATTTAACATACGACAGATTCAGTGACTGAACTCCTGGCCAATAAGAGTGCAATTCGTGCCTCAAGAAGCTTAACCTCTGACCTTCTTATTTTGGCTTTGAGATACATCGCAGCCTCCTTGTGGGCAGCAACTAGACAACACTTCAACACCAGAACTGAAGCGGACTTATTTCAGTGCTACTAGATAGACTGAGAAATGGGCAGTTGTTTACCACACGACAGCTGAGGCAAAAAGCAGCCTCATTCAACTTCGCCTGGGAACATGTGCAGAAATAACCCAAATTTTTCTGTTTATGTATGCCACAGATGACCCGGAGAGCAAGTCAAATGCAGACAGTATTAAGGTGGGGCTATGCATGAGTTTCACCTAGCAGTGAACTCACTCATGAGGGCTTCTTCCATTCTCTATGCCAAAGGGGCAGCAATAGAGGAGTTGGAAATAATAGAGCAGGTAAAATGCTGGTTCTGACGCAGCCTCAAAAGTTTCCTTGTGTCTGTATCCAGGTAACAGTGATTTACATGTATGCTGGGGGCCGCAGAAGTAGCTGACCTGGAGCCTAAAAGGCCTGCCATGCAAGTGAAGAAGGAAGGAAGCAGCATCGATGGTGCCCCTGATGGTCAAATCCCAGGCCGATGTGAGGACACCCGGTAGATGCCAGAGCCCACATACAGAACAGGAAGAACAGCCGCTCCTGTCTTCCCACCTCATCCATCTCTGCTCCCTTACCAAGGCACTCCAAAAGATGCAAATTGGAGGAAATCCTCTACAAAAGAGATGCTGTCTTTTTGACTAAACTTATTCAAAACATATTGGAAAACCCATAAGCTGGTTCAGATTTAGTATCTGCTTAACACAGAAATGACCATGATTATTTGAGCATCTGGGCTCCATGATGAAGAAGCTGGGCTATTTTAGGATTTGTTCATCATTAACATATTCTTGTTGCCAGGCACACATTGTGGAAAACATGGACACCAAGACAAGCACAACAAATAAACGTACATAAGATAACCTATAACATACATGAGATGCCCTCCCACACCGAGGATTACAGAAATTGATGGGAGAAAAAAGATCACTTTCAATATCAGTGCACAGAGAAACTTCACCAGGAGGATGGACAATTTGACTAGCTCATAAAGTGCAAAAACAGTTTACATATGTTAGGGAGCAATGGGGGAGTATTTTATCAGAGGAGAATGCAGGTGGAATTTGAACAGTAAGGAGTGCTCAAGACATATCTGGAGGCAAATAAGTAGATCAGTATAAGTAACGTAGAATAATAATAAAGAATAATGTGAGATAATATCACAGGCATGGCAAAAGAAGAATCCATTCAACATGGTGTATGACCAGCTCTAAGGACAAAGCAGAAGAAGCATGAATCATAACAGATGACTTTAGTCTGAGTTTGGGGACTTACAATTATGGTATCAAGGACAGAAAAAGGGAATCCAGTGCAGAACTAGTTCCAGGCAAAGCAAAAGAATGTGAGATGACAACACGACACCCCAGGGGGATGATAAGCATGCAGCCAGAAGTAAGAAGCTGATCCCCAGGGAGAAGCAGAATTGGAAATGTGGATTTCAGACTTCTCAGTAGTAAGATCATCTCTAAGACCTGCTAGTGGGTGAATATCTGAGGCAATTAGAAAGGTAGACAAGCAAGAAATATCACAAAGAAAGCAAAGAAGCAGCAGTCAGGGAGTTGGAATGTGCATGTGTCCTAGGAGGAGAATCCAGAGTGACTCAGAAGCAAATGCTCAATGGTGCTAAGTACCTCTGAGTGGGTGGAAGAGACAGAAGATTGAGGAAATTCAGCTAAATTTTTGCACAAGCAGCGTACAAGCAATACCCAGTGTACAAGCGGTGTATGTAAGAGCCATGTGAGTCAAGTGATCCAGGGGAGAGTCAGAATGCCTTCACAAATGTCTACAGAGTTTGTTTCCAGGGAAGTGATGGAGATAATGACTGGTGACCATTTTGAAAGACAGCGAATTTTGACACTGCTAGTTTTACAAGATCATCAAGGGAAAGGATGGAACAGTGTTTGTTTTGTTCTGAGACCTCTGCATACTAAGAGGAAGTCCTAGTGGAGAAAGAACAAATGAAGACTCATGGCAGCAATAGGACCATCCATTGCAGAAGACTGAGAAACAATAAGATCTAAGCTTTGTATGGTTTTCGTTGTGTCTCTGGCACTGTTCTACATGCCCAACACATAGCTGTCCATTTTATTCTCATAATACTCCCATGAGGTAAGGACCATTAAAATCCCCATGGTAAAGGAGAGCAGAAGTGGCTTGTTGATGGTAAATGACATGCCCAGTAATATTATCTAGAAGGAAAGTTTCGAAGAATGCAGTGCAGAGTCAATAGAAGATTAAGACCTGTTGTATACCTCCTACAACTCCAGGGGAGGAGGGCCCTGGAGGCTGAGAAGTGGTGGGCAGTGGGGTTCTACAGAGGAAAGGTGGGAAGGTTTGAGTTTGGAGAAACCAGCAGGTAAAGCTGTAAGGTCAGTTCTGGGAACAACACAAGGGTTTGGAGAAAGGTTAATTTAGGAGGCAGATTCTGTTTTACATTTCCCTGAAAGAAGCATCAACTGAAAAAAATGAAATTCATGATAAATTCATATGATATTAGTGCAGTATCTATGACACAAGGTTTATAAACATAGCCATCAAAATGTATTGTTCTTCAGCCTGAAAATGCATACACTAAAATATGAATGAAATGCTAAGTTTATCCTTGTAACGGTTCCAGAAAACATCAACAAAATATCAAAGAATGAGCTATTTTATGTAATTGATGTCTATAGAATATAATCATAACCCTATCATGCATGACAATTTATAAGAAAACAGTGGAAATATCAGAATTATTAACTCTAATAACTAAATGGATTTCACAAATGTTAGCAAGCATTAAATCATAGAGAATTTCAGATGATATAAAAACTTTTTTAAAAACATCTTGTTTTCCTTGATATAGTGCCTTTTTTGAAGATCAAGATTTAGGCACAATGAAGTCATTAAAATGTCATCTCTAACTCTGTTAGCAGAAAATTAATATTTTTAAAATTATTTAATTCAGTACTGATCATCATAAATGGCATAAAACATGAAAAGCAATTCTTCCTTATGTAATAGTGTTCATTTTTAAAAATGACTGCATTTAGTCTGGGTTTATGAACATTATTTCTTTAGAAAAAATGTTTCGGGGTCCAAGGAATTTCATTCAACTACATCCTGGAATATGGCCTTGACTGATTTTCAATTACAAAGTAGTATTTTATTAGTGGTGGAGGATTTTCAAGATAATGCTTTTAAACAAGATTTTCAATTATACAAAGATATAATTGAAGGCCCACTTTCATGAGTCAGTTATAGACAATTTCCAGGGTCTGCAAGTCTGTAGTAGACGGGCTTGTGATAACACTTGGTAGAGTAAGAGGCACTTCTGAAGAAGCCTCAGAGTACTGTATTAGTTACTTTTCTCATTGCTGAGATGAAATACCCAACATCCTCAAGTTAAAGAAGATGTATCTCAGCTCACAGTTTTAGAGGTTTCAGTCCGTAGCCAGCTGGCTCTGAGGCAGGACAGCATGGCAGAGGAGCATCAGAGAGGAGAAACAGCCCCTGGCAGGGCAGGCAGGAGACAACTGCACCAGGCAGCAGCAAGGCACCAGCAGCAAGTCTCCCTTACCCTTTCTGCCATCCAGGTTACAAGCCTTTTAGGTGGTGCTACCCACACTCAGGGTGCTACTTAGATTATCCGCACCCAAACAATGCTAAACAAATCAGTAGGCTGATTTAGTTATCACATCCTTTATCCATATTTACACATCTTTAATCCACATTCACACACTCTAGATCCAGCCACCTCTAAAACCCCCCACCTACGAGCATGTAAAGCTTTGGGGGAGGATCTAAAAGCGAGCCCTAAGAAGTACTGGTTGTTTGCCCCTAAAAAACATGATTTCATTCCAAAGGCAACTGTAAACAGTTTTTCAGGAAACATCTTTGTTTCATACATGTACTCATATATGTAACATTTCTCTCTATATAAATATATATGCTACACACTGAACACATCACAATTTTTAAATATATTGCAATTAGATAAATTGCTCTATATTATGAAGCAGATGGGCAGACTTTAAAACAAAATGTTAGTATTCTTCTGCAGTACTTAGAGTAATTTTGAGTATCTCTTTGCCCACTGACTATAAATGTAAGTACCATCTCAGGTAACTGTATTTTAAAGAGCTTTTTAAGACTAGAGAACTAAGACTATAATACAAATTAGTAATGAAATCATCACGTTTTGGGAAAATTGTCATTTCCTCACTGGAGGTTAGAACGTGAAACAGTGAGGACAAATCAGGAAATGACTTTGCAGGAAAAAATAAGGCTCATTACTTCTCAAAGGAATGTTTTAGTACAGCCATTTCATATTCTTAATGCAATTGAGGTTTTTAATCTTTAAATATTCTTAATCTGCATTTTCTCCAGATTTGTTTTAAAAGGCTAAGCATAGAAGGTTCACGGCACAGAGCAATCCCCACTGTGCAGAGATTCTCACCTTGTTATACGCGACGTGGCTAAGGAGGGTGTGAGAGGTCTGCTCATCCTGCAAGGAGGAGGACAAATGGCCGAAGGGCCCTGGGCTAAGGCAGGCGGTGTGCGAGATGGTCTGCGGGCGCAGCAGAGACTTAGCAGGAGGATAGAGTTTAGTCTGGTATAAAGGATGGAGCGAAACAGGCTTGGGAGGAACTGTCACATCCTGGGAAGAGAAAGGCACAGAGCGTGTTAGTGGACAGGCATGCCTGGACTCAGGTCTATGACAGAGGTGGGCCAGGACCGCTAACTAGTAAGAAGAAAACGTCTACAGAAGCATCCTTCACAAGACACCTGCTTTCAGTATGTGAAAGCAGTATTGTCTCCTTCACTAATCCCCGTCAGGGCCCCACCTCCCACCTCTTCTAAAAGGAAGCGCTGGAAAGAAACTCCTGAACAGAGCTAAGCTTGCCAGTCTTGAAAATACAGAGAGGGAAACATAAGCAAAGAAAGAGTCTATCCAGAGAGACTGCTAAGCTCAGCCACGTCTTCACTGAAGACAGACCTAGCAGTGGAAGTTATTTCAAGGATGCATCTAATTGGGTCTGGAAGCAACCGGAGGAAAAAGGTAGGCCAGTGTGGAGGGCACTACGGTGTGAGCAGAGGCAGCGCATTTAGCTCGAGGCACAGTAAGTTACTGAGTTGAGTCTGGCAGGCGTTAGGGGTCAGGAAGGAGCCAGCCTGGAAGAATGACTAGGGTCTTCTGTTCTAGGCATCTAGGCAGCGACGTCTTGTAGAGCAGCTAACACAGGAGTTCAACAGTAGAGAGGAGAGGTTAGCAGCCTGAAGTGGGGCTTTAGCATGGAAAGGGCATGAATATAAAAGACTCTGAGGAAGTAAGAGCTACTAACTGGGACCAGGAATTATGTAAGTGGAGCAAGGAAACGACAACTGTGAGAAATCTTGAGCCTACAAAGAAAAGTTCCATGAAGGGTCTCGTGTGCCGGCTGACCCTTGCATCTGCCTGTCCTAGCTGGCTTCCAGTAAACATAAAAATTCAAATACGCAGTAATCTCAGTGACATGTGTGCTCTAATATGGTCAAACTTACAGAAGCAGAGACTAGAATAGCAGTTCCCAGGGCCTAGGGGAAGGAACAATGGGCAATATTGCTTGCAGGGTGCAGAGTGCCAGTCACTCCAGGTAAGAAAGACGGGGAGACCTGTTACGCAGCAATGCTACTATAACTAACAGCACCATACTGTCTACTTACATTGGGTAACAGGGTGGACTCTAAGTGTTCTCACCACAGACTAATTAAGTTATGAACACCTCAATACAGCTGAACAAAAGCAAAAAACAGAAATTCATTTTGCATTTTTTTTCTTTGTCCAAAGATTCACTAAGAAGCAAAATTTTCCAACTTACATATTGGAGGGAATTTTTGTGTTTTCTCAGTTTTGTGTTATTAATTTATAAAATTTTATAATCAGGAAAAAATTGGGTGCCCATTTCTACCTTAGCAATTACAGGTTTTCCTTTTTGGCCTAATACATAGTTTTTGTGAGGGTTCCACAGACACTAAAAGAGTGGTCTTTTGTTTTGTTTTCGGGGGGGGAGGAGGCTCCGTGGGATATACAGTCCAAAAATATAGTATCAGATTACATTAGATGACCTACTTTCACTTGTTTTTCCACTTTATCCATCATAAGCTGAAAAAAATGACTAAAGTATTCTACCGTAACATGTTTTCACTTACTTTTATTCCTGTCTCTTACTTTTCTGCATTAATGTTGCTATGTTTGGATGTTTTGGTACTCTAGTGATTATATTTTCCTTACACATTACACTGTGTCCTTTAGCACTATAAGGGGTCTTATTTGATTTACGGAATTTTTGCCCACTATGCAGGTTAAAACCTTCCATTGCTTATGGAGTACTTTGTTATTTTCAGCTAATGTCAATACCATTTCAAAAGTTTCAAGTTAGAGGTTAATTTTGCTTGTTTCCCCATCTGGAAATCTCCTCCCCTCTTTATTTGATTTACTTCCTTAGTACCTGGATCCTGCCTGGACCAGATGCTCTCCAGCAGGCTCCCGTGGGGAAGGGGCCTCCATGCCAAGCCCCCTGTGTCTCCGGTGTTTGGGGCACGAGTTGGCTGGCTCTTATTTCTTAGGGAAAAATGAAGCCTGTGCATGCAGGGGGAGTCTGTGTGCAGCTGCCCCAAGGAGCCGGGCTCCTGCGAGTACGCTCTGCTCTGTCCTGGGTGTGTGGACAGCCTTGCTCCCCTGCTTCTCACGAAGTACCCAGGACAGGGCACCTTCTGTCACCAGCACACCCCACAAAAACCACCCGAGGCCTACACAAACTCAGAGTCGGGGCTTCTGGAAGGTGGTCGAATCATGGGCAACACGGCCGACTCACTGTGCGGAGTGGCGCCCAGTCGGGGGAGGCGGTCACTGCGGTCACCACCTGGAAAGGCACGGTCCTTCCCCAGCTCCTGACGTGAGCAGCTCTCCTCCGCCAGACCCTTCGCCACGCCCGCCTGCCTTGGAGCAGCCGACTATGAGCTCCACACTGAGCCAAGGTAAACCACTTCTCCTTTAAATTGCAGGATTGCGGATTTTGTCCCACCACTAGGAGAGTGACTAACACAACATAGGAATCCTTTAATGGTTTGGTTTTTGAAGGAGGAACAGAGGCCAAAAATAGTCTCGTACATTCCTATCACTGATCTAGAATCTAGCTAGCAGCTAGATAAGTTACTTTTGATAAAATGTTCTAAACCACAGTTCACTCTCCTGATGATTATCTTCTTCAATATAAAAATACTTAACAAAATTTTCCGGATATTTAAGCTTTACTTAAAAGTGTTAATTTTTAAAAAGGAATGAACTTTTTGGGTGAACATAGCATCATATCCCACAAAAATTGAAGACAAGAACTTATGAGGCAAAGAATATCCTTGTTCATTAGGGAAAACTCAACAGACAAATAAATACACAGTGAATAAATTAACTTAGCTCTGCTTATTGACAGAGACATCGGAAAATTAATGCTACAGCTGTATCTGATGCATCCGCCACCCCCGACAAAGGCCACTTTCTACTCGGTGGTCAAGGCAAACTGCTGAACTTCAAACACTGTCTTCCCTGCAACACCAAAGGGCACGGTAAGGCTCTCCGGGCTCTTTGCACTACAGCCTGCACATCTGAGGCCCTCTTGTTCCCTCCCAGCATTTCAAAGTCACCCCATCCTGACTTGGAAGTGACGGGTGAACATCTACACTCCTCTCTCAGGCTGGCCCCCCTTCACACTGCGTGCGGTGACCTGTCTGAGTACAGGTCGCCGTTGCTAACTCGGAGTAATTACTGCAGCCTTCGGCTCTCTCCTTGATCCTGTTCCCCCATGTCGTTGGTAGAGCCACACCTCCCTTTGGTAACAATTATTTTCACCTTTCGTTTGCTAGTTGGGACTTAAAGCAGTTCACAATGAGACTCGTAGCACTTCCACTGCAGTTTTAATTTAAAGCAACGCCCTGATAATACAGCCAAGAGCAGCAGTAATGGAATCTGAAATAATGACTCCTTAATCCAAAGATACATCAATATCTTACAAACAGTGATCACCAAAAAACTAGTAAGAAATAAGACTATAACTCTATGCATATTACTAAGACCAAGACAATCTAAATTAAGCCTCTCACTTTTCAACAAATGGCATAATTTCCTGTCGATAAACCCCAGTTTTGAACAATCCATGTGCATTTTTAAAACAAAGGTATGTAAAGCAACACTCACCTATTTAGAATCCTGATTTGAACTAAAAATTTGAACTTGTGAAGCATGAAAAAGCCTGTATTTGGCTATTTCAAATCCTTTTTACAAAAAAAAAATTTTAAGTAATTACAACATAATTTTCAAGATAGACTGGAGAGTTCAGTGCGTCAAGTGGACAATTCTGGCACAGACGGGGAGGACCGCTGGGAATCACTTGGAGGAGGACTCAGGGAAACGGACAGCAAACACTTCACACCCACACGGCAGTGAGGGCAAAGGCAGAGTTTTGCGTCTCCTCATACACGCAGTCGAATTCCTGTCCTACACTTCCCACCTGCACATACTTAGGGCAGGGAAGAAGAACACTTTAAGGTGAATAAGGGAGAAAATTATGGAAAAGAAGCTTCTAGGTGTTTTCACACTGGAAAGCTGAAGGAGGAAAATAAAGGTCATCAACTGATAACCCTTGGTAGGAAGGCAGCCTCTTTCTTCCGAAGTTATGGTGATTGTAAAAAAGATGATAACAGTGGGCATTTAAAATGGTGCCTTTACAGTGTCCAGGGTCTTTTCACAGTAACAGTGAGAAGCTATCCCAACAATCCCAACATCGTAGCCACAATATGAGGAACCTCAGGCCCTGTCATGGACGAATGGATGAAAACACACTGTATAGGCAGCGGAATGTCAGGAAACCTCAAAAAAGAACAAGACATCCTGTCATTCTCAGTGACACAGATGGGCTGGGAGGACGTTATTTTTAGTAAAATAAGTCGGTTGCTGAAGGGTAACTATGACACGCTCTCGCATGTGGGATCTGAAATAGAGTTACGGAGACAGGGGCCAGAACAGCGATGTCCCGGGACCGAGATGTGGGGAAATGGGAGAAGGTGGTCAAGGGCGCAAACGCTCAGCTACATGGTCAGCGAGCTCTGGGGTCTGACAGATGGCGGAGCAACCGTGGTTAACGACACGGTGCTGCTTACGGGAATGTGCTGAAGAGCAGACCTGAAGTTGCTCACGCTGTACATCACGCACACAGCGTGACTACGTGTGGTGACAGGTGTACTGATTATCTGATAGCGGCAACTGCTACACACCGCCAACACATTAAAACATCACACTGTGAACCTTAAATACACATACTTTTTATTTGTCAGTTGTACTTAAAAGTTAAAATCTTTGGGAAACTTTTCATTAATTACTTTTTTCTTTGATTAGTGTCCATGTACAACACCTAACGTGATGTTTGTTTTGGGAAACATCATTTTCAGTTCCCCTCCTCCTTACCTCCTGCCTCTTCCGGATCCCCGTCCCCCTCTCTAAAACGTCCTTTTAAAATTACAAATATATTGGTGGAGACAGTAGGACGGACTCCAGGGGAAATGGTGACTGGCAGCCTCAGTTTTCCAGGATGAAACGGAAGTTAGGTGAGGACATTTCTTCCCCAA